TTGGCCATCAGGGGGGGGGGGGGCATGAAGGGCAGTTTCCGACGATGCCGTTAAATAAAGACACTAGGTTGTAGTTGAGGCTAGGGGTACGTGCAGCCCTCACCAACAACAGGTCGGCCGGCCCCGGGGCTGCCGTCATCTCAAGGTTGAAACCTGGTATTCCATCCACAGGTTCTCCCTTGACATGAAGTAGCCGCTCTACTGTAACACTGACATATTTTGACTTTGGTCAGCCGGTTAGCGCCGTCGATGCTACAAAAAATACACACACGGCCCCTGATACTGTCAGGGAGGGAGGGGGCGCCGCGGATGGGAACGCCATGTGGTGGCATTGTTCCTCGTGCTAAAACTGACGACGTCTACTGGCCAGTCCATCAGCACGGATGATCAATTTCAGGCATAGAAGGCAGGACACACACGTTCCAAAACAACTCATAAAACAAGAAATGATACCAAAAACAACCCAAAAAATAAGAAAGGACACCAAAAACACCCACAGAAGACACCCAAAAGGCATCCAAAAACACACCTCGACTATCTTGTCCCTAAATCTCCGGTTCACGTTCGCGTAGCACTGCCACAGGTCCGCCATGGTGTCCTGCGTGAAGAACCGCATCACCTGATCTCCGTAGACGTCCACCACGTGGTGAAAAACTGGCCACAGTATACCCTGCACGGGGAATATTCCACAAGACATCGGATGCATACACCCGACAAAAGGAAGAGTAGTGACGGGGAAAGTGAGCGCTATGCAACGGTAAAGCAGACCGTCAGTCGAGAGCAGAGTCCCTTGGTCCCACTCCTCCGTGGATCGAACTACAATAGGAGGGGAAGACAAAGAAGCACACCTAGGATAATGCGGAAGCGTAAGTTCGTTACGCCCCCCAAAACCGGTCTCCCTACGCCCCGTCCCTAACCCCATCAACAAGATAGCGACACTGAGAGCACCGTTCCACAGCTCCCAGATACACGTTTTACAACCAACGCGTGGAGAGCACGGACACACACATGTTGGGACAACACAAGACCAAACTGCTATTCCTCCAGCATCGGCAGCGGCAGCGGCAGCGGCAGCGGCAGCGGCATCACTCGCCTTGCAGAAGTCGCGGTAGAACTTGTTCGCCAGCGGCTTGTCCAGGAACACCGGCACGCACGAGAACGGCAGCAGCGCCTTCGCCACCGCCTCTTCCTCCTCGGGCTTGACGCCTTCCGCGTAACGTAGAAACCCCACACGGGTTACCCGCATGTCCACGTCCGTCGAGTGCAGGCTGAGGAGGCTCTCGTAGTCCCACTCGACCACCCACCTCCCGCCTTCGTCCTATTGCAAAAAAAACATCGAGGACAAACTAAGCCCCTACTGGTGAAGGAGTCTGATGACGAAACCCTGAAGGCTAAGCCTGCAAAGGAAGACTACGAACATGGCGTGCGCAACAGGTCCTACGGCTTGGCCATCTTACACGACAAGGTCATACAAGCATGCCTGTCGGCCTTTGCACTCGACTGCGACCGTGCATAGTGTGCTTCAATGCTACACGGCCGAAACGAGGGATGTTTCCTGGTTGTTGCTGGTGGCTTATCTTTTTCCTATGATTTTCTTCCTCTCTTGTTCTACTAGCTTTCCTACTAGTCTTGGCAGGTTTGGAAGCCAACGGCAGCGATGGACGTCCTACCTCTCCCCCACCCCACAGCATGAACCACCACCTAAATAGCGCGCTGCTTGCTCGAGATTCTTAGTCCTCGTACAGCAGTTCATGATGCCTCCCCTCACCTTGCTGAGCAAGACCGGGAGGAAGAAGCTTACGACAACTACGCCATCACGCTTTGTGATGGCTGACGACTTCTCCTTCGCCGCCGTCTTCGCTCTGCAACACACAAAAAAAAAAGCGTAAAAAAATTGCATAATGAGCCACACAACGAAGGGGGAGGGGTTACCGTACGGATTTTATCGAAGCCAAAGAAACGACCGAGGTGGAACCAGGGATAGATTACAGCAGTTCGTGAAAAATCGGCATCTGGACACAGAGCAATCAGGTCCATTAGACGAGCGTAGGAAAAAAGGAAGAAGAAATCAATGCGCCCTTGTTTCTCGCTCATTTCAACAAGTCTAGGTGCAACAAAACAAGAGAGAGCGTGCAGGAACACAGCTCGACTTTACGGGTCCCAAACTTTGCCTTCTGAATGGAAGGATAGAAGATACATGTCACGCCAGGAGGAAATTGAGTATTGAACAGAGTTGATGCAACAAACCACGCCACCAAACACGGTTCAACGAAATATATCACCGAAGCACCACCCTACAGCAACTCTTGGTGCCACAGCAGCACAACGCCCCCCCCCCCCTCCTCCCACAGCCCGGAACGGCTTTGCGGGTGGGTCACGGCATGCGAGGAAAGCGCTGCCGCTCTTGTCCGTTCAGCCTATAGTGGCGTGCATTCTACAGCCCCTTGTTCTTCCCCCTATTGTATTGCAGCACGTACGCAATCTAGAATGTTGTTTACGCGTTTGTCCCCATCTGTTCTGGCGCCAGTCTACACTATACCTCTCGGTGTGTACGTCTGACGCATCACCCGGGGTCACACAGCTACTTTCTCCATTTTAGTTACACGTAGTTCTTTTTCCTCCACATATTTTGCATTTACACACACGTAATTTCTCCACATATTTCGCATCGGCGGTTATCATAATTGACACCTTTCAGGCGGTTCTCTTGGCAGACAGGTGGCAAAATAAACCAACGAACACAATGCTAGAGATCAGTCCACAGTAAGTCTCCCGCAATCTCCGGACCTGAGAGCCATCATGCTGGCCTGTAGACTGGTGCGGTTGGCAGCCGCAAACTTGACCGATCTCCTCATGTCTCCCTTTGGCACCCGCGACCCCCTGAAAAATCCCCCAAGGAATCCCCCACCCCCCTTCCCCTTGTACTGTCATGCCAGTACACGTTTTGGTTTTGTACCCAAACATTCATCCGCCAGAGAGCGCACGAGGTTATACACAGATACGTAAGAGAAAGAGGGGGAGAGAGAGGGGGGGGGGGGGGAGACAGCCACACAGAGAGACCGAGCAAGAGACAGAGAGTAACAGAAAGAGAGAAAGAGAGAGGGAAGAGCGAGGAGAAATAGACGTCCACAGAACAGAGACAAGAGACAAAAGAGGCAAGGAAATAAGCGGGTCGGTGAGTGGTGCGTAGAAGTGGAGCGATCGTCAGAACGATCATCAGAACGATCGCCACCACAACGGGAAGGGTGAAGAACGACTTCACTTCGTATCGTACCGTACCGCCATCAGCCAAACAGACCATGAGGCGAACCATATCGTAACGGCGACGGCATCCACCAAGTGGTTTGAAGTGAACAAACAATACCGTATACCGTATCGTGATGTAGGAACCACACCGCACAGGCCAACGGAAAACGTGTGGCGTAGAAGGCGCTACCGTAAACCACCACGATAATATGCATACGACTTTCAGCAACAAGAGCCCAAGCAAAACAAGAGGAGCTTGAGGTGCCGCGCGAAGCCATGAGACCGCGACGTATAACCCGGCAAGCACAAGGACTGAGTTGCTACAAACCAAGGTACACGCTGCACTCGCTGCACCCGCTTGCCTACTAACCCCTCGCGTGCTACTTACCTATCCGCGATCACAGACAGCGCAACCTTCCAGCCCTGCTCCTCGCAAAAGACTTACCAGGTATTCTTGAAGTATTCTTGCTATAATACTGAAATATCACAACTCGGGTGTAGTTCTTAAGATACCGTGTACGATCGAAAACAGTGGTCGCTCGTGCTTTTGGGTAGCTGTGGAACCCATCATGTCCAACAGCCAACGAAATGGTGAACCGCGTGGAATTGTCACGCATTCTCCTTGTTGCACCTGTTGATATACCCCCGTGTCTTTTCGGAAAGACTTTCTTCTCCAAATTACTTGTCGCAGCAGTAGAGTACGACAGCCAACGAAATGGTGAACCGCGTGGAATTGTCCCGCATTCTCCTTGCTACACTTGATCATTTCCCCCGTCTCTTTTCGGAAAGACCTCCTTCCCCATAATGCTTGTCGCAGCAGTAGAGTACAAAAGAAAAAAAAATAGACCGCTGTTTGCCCTACCTTGTCCAGAACATCCTCTACGATCGCCGTGGCCGCTGATGGTTCTGTCACCGGATCCAACTCCCTGTGTGTAGTGTTGAGGGCGAAAAAAAGGGGAGAGGCGTCAAATACCGCGTGACGCCCGAGGCACGCATGCAGAGATGGGTCGTAAAACACGGAGGGCGGGACAGCATCGCTGAAAACGAAACTTGTTGAGAGCCTACCGCTACTGGCAAGAGGTCCAGCCGGTCATCTAAATACCGCTGTGCGCACGTGCATGCTTTGGCCGAACGAGCGAAACATAAATGGGCACGTCGTTCGGAGGAGCACATAAAAAAAAAAGCACATCGAAAAACATCCCTGACAACGCAACACTCGAAAGAACCTGAAGCGCAAGCCCACATCACCACAAAACATCGTCCTCCCGATTTCACCCTCCGGTTCGTCGCAACCCCCCCCCCCTCTCGAGGTTACGGGGTCAATGGTTTAACCGCCAAGGGATCCCAAACATAAGAGTACGCTCCCCCCCCCCCCCCCCCCGCCCCCGGCCTCACCTGTCTACGGAGATGTCCTCCCACCGCTTGAGCTTCCCCCCGGCAACCACGCAGTACCGGTACGTGACTTTCTTGTTAAGGGGCACCGGGACTGGCCCCGAGCTCCACACGGGGTAGCTCGACGGGTCGGTTACCAGCCGCAGAGCGCGGGAGGGGTCCTTAGCGCCCAGGGACGGGCAGGAGCCGCAGACGTAGATTACCTCCCCGTGGCCCAGCTTAGCCTCCACGGCGAAGGATAGCTCGTAGGCGGGCGGCGGGCGGGTCGGCATGATGCTGCTCGAGGCGTCGTTAGCCATGTCTCCGAAAGGGCAAATCGATAGCGAGGTGGCGGAGGCGGCCTGTGCAAAAAAAAGAGGGAAAGAGCGAAAGAAAACTCTTGCCGAACTCCTCCCTCTCTCCTTCCACTAGCCGCTTCGAAAGCAGAGGTTTCAGCTGCTGTGCGCACGCGGTCTTTGGCCTGTTCACTGCCTTGCTGCTGCGCCTGTCCTCAAGAAAAGATGGAGCGAATCTCTTGTGCCGCTTCCTCGTCCCCCTCCCCCGACTCTCTCTTTCCCTGTGATGCCCAAGGCGAAATTCGTCGTCAAGTACAGCCGAGCACTCAGCCCCCCTAGCGTGTATCTTGGTGTACCATCGCCAAATTCCTTGTCTCCTTGTCTCTCGTTGTTCTCCCAGTCCCCTTCGGCAAGAGCTTGGGTGTGTCGCAGATGCAGGTGGTGTCAGCGGTGTTGCCGGAGTTGTGTTGCAGGATGTAATGTAGATGTACGATATATTCTGCGTTTCGAAGGAGAGAGAGAGGGGGGGGGGCAGCCGGCAAGCGCGATTGTTACGTAAATCGAACCTCACTCAATCGGAGATCAACACCAGCTGGTTCGGAGACATCCAGGTGCGGAGAAATACGAGGGTTTTTGGTTGCGATAGTCACAATCTTTCACCTAAAAAGCCTTACATCCTCAAAGAGAAGCTCATCGCTCGACCATGCCCCCTCCGTACTATCGGCATGAAATGCAGGGCATTGATCCGTGTCGCACCATTATCGTTTTCTTCAACCAACGCAAAGCTGCTTCGCGACCTCTCATTTCGAGTTCAGCAAGAGTCCAAGAGTCTGAGACAATCCTCGTGCGCGTTCATATTTGTAGTTTATCCGCTTGCGAGTGTTTCCACCACTTCTCGCATAATGTGTAACAGCAGTTCCGGTCGACCCAAGTTTTGTTCTCATTGGGCTTTCTTATGTGGTCTTAGAATATATCAATATACACACACTACAGAAGAGAAATAACCCGCTCGCAATGTAGTCAAAGCATATATACAAAGGATACAACATGTCGATGGGAAAATAGCAAGATATATACGAAGGTTTCCGTAGTCAGCACATGATGTAGGTACCCCATGAGTTCAGCAAGAGAGGAAGTAATCGAAACAGCAGCGTCAGTCCATCGACGACACAACAGCGGCGACAGCGGTGACTGCTGTAGTATCAAAGAACGGGTGGACCCCACCAAGAACATCAACTCTCAATAAAGGGTGTGCGCTACAGCAATGCTGGCCCTCTGGGCGGTAGAGGTCAGTCAAATCGGCATTTAATGCCTGCTGACCTCTCCGAACAGACTTGAGTCCCACATGTATTATGTACTTCGAAGAAGTACCTTGCACTAGCGCACCACAACAAAACAAAACACGAGTGATGAAACAAACAAGCAGCAGCACCGCATATCTACACAAGCATGCAAGCACCACCAGCATCGAGTCGGCTCTGGGCGTGCGCCGGCTCATCATGCATGATGTCGGCGGGACAAATAATCACAAATCACAGCAGTTGCTTGGCGGTGCGTCGACGCGTCGCTGCTGCTGCTGCTGCTGCTGCTGCACTTGTAAGGTAAAAAATGGAGACAGACAACAAGACAACCTGCACACGCGGCGGCGTCATGGAAAGAGAACAGTTGTTGTCGAGAAGATAAGAGTGACTGACGCTCCCCTCCCTCCCCCCCGCCCTGAGCACTGACGCAAAAGGCGTGGCTTTCGCAACGGGGCAAGCAGTTTCCCAGCAAACAACAAGAGCTTGGATGCAAAGTGCAATGTTGGGAGAGGAGATGGTCTCCGAAGACGTAAAAAAGGAATCATCAATTCACAAACACTACAGCAACAATCGTGGGATCCTCCCCCCCCCCGCAACATGTGGTACATGTGCAACCATATGCACTTTTCGTGACCAGCACATGCGTGCTTGTAACCTGACAGGCCACAGGGACGCTACGTTCGCATTTGGAATTTAATGCTGTGTTGAGTCCGGGCTTTCCGTGTGTGTTCGTACATCGTACACATCTATCTGATGGGACCAGAAGGTCGCACGAGTTCGCAAGACAGGGTGAGCGATGATGAGACGGTCTATCAGTCGCCGCTTTTGGAAAGAAAAAAGCTCTTCGTGACCTCCACGGCTGCGCCACCACCGCCACACGAAATCTTGGCGGCTTTTGCTGGTAACGGGGGGCTGAGCAATCACCACATGCGCCAAGGGCATGGCGGTGAAAAAAAGCGAGGGAGGACTACAACTGCTGCACCCTATGCACACAACATCTCATGTGGAAGAAGGAAGCAGCAAGCAGCAGCAGGTTTTTTGGTATGCATAAAAAAAAACAGCAGCGGGTCTGCGTTGGCCTTTGTGTCGCCTGTTGCCCTTGTACATGGACAACGGCTCGAATCGAGAGGGAAAGACGGCACCAGCAGCAGCAAACGGTGTGGACACGTCGCGTACACCGTGGCCCTACGGCGATCACAAGTCATTCAGCATCAGGTCCAAACCTCAACTCGCGGCGGCGGCAGATTTTCAGAGAGAGCGGTAGGTCAAAGGGGGGGGGTCGGGAAATATATGAGGGATTAAAAAAAAAGGGCCGACAACACAAAGCGCCAACAAGCGTCAGCTTTTATACCGTGAGGGGGCAGCCGAACACACCACAGCAGTGCCATTCTCACCTCTGACGCTCACCAGCCAGATACCTCCTCTGTTCCGAGCCTTCAAGCCCCTCTCACAGCTCACCCCAACCGCTGTTTTGCAGAGCCTTTTGGCACTTTGGGAGGGGGCGACGCGAACATCGAAGAGTCTGGCAGGCACCCACCCACCTGTTCTTGGCTCCAGCTCAGCACAGCGCCAACTACTGCTGTGTACGTTGACTCTGACTCGGCACTCTCACGCACACGGCAGCGAACTCTCATCTCTCTCTCTCTCTCAGTCTGCCTTCCTGCTGCAACCAATCGAAGGAGGTACTGCGGGAGAAACTTGCGGGAGAAACTTGAGAGCAAGATGAAGACGAGAGCGCTGACATCGTGCACAGCAGGAGGTCTAATCTGCTTGTCAACATCATGTGTGACAACGGCCTTCGTATCTTCGACGACACCTGCTCTCTCTCGCCACCACCACCATCATCGTACCAGATCGTCGGTTGTTGTTGCCGCCGCTGCCACTCCGAGATCGCTGCTGCCACCCGCCACGATGAAGCTCTCCGGGAGACCCAGGAGGCACACCCGTGGCCTTCGAAGAACGCGAATGGCGGAGGACAGCGGCAGTGACGGCGTCGTGAACATGTCGAGCTTCGATGCGCAAAGCGCCCCCCCATCAGGCCCCGGTGCCGGGGTGATCGACTTGCAGTTCCAGAACCTCAAGACTGGAGGCTTCAAGGTCTTCCTGCTGTTCTTCTTGCTTGGTGTGAGTTTGTCTTGACCGCACACGTAAGAGGTTGCTGTTGAGCATCGTCACCTCACAGCAGACAGGCAGCAGCATATACATATATCCATTTGATTCTCTGCAGCGGCAGACGCACACCACGTGTACGACTCAACAGACAGCAGCAAAGAGCATGTTACTTCAATCAGCGCCGACTGCTCAACCGGCTGTCCAATGGCAAAGACGGTGTGTTGGCGTGTACTGCCCCACCATCGTGTTGGAGGCCATCCTCTTGCGGCTTTTGGCTGTGGTCCCAAAGCCCTGTTTTTATGTTGCAAGTGTTTTGCACATTCAAAAATGATGAAGTACACCAGTAATCACTCCGCAGTCGCGTCATCCATATAGCTTGCCAAACGTGCATCTTCGCGGGCGCTTGCGAGCCCCATGTTTTCGATCAGCCATTCTAACTGGAGACGTGATAGACAGCGGAAAGAGTGAAAAGCCTGGTCTGTTGTAAACTCTTGGGGACGGGGGTGTTCTATATCGGCCCATCGCGTGTAGATACCAGTGTTGACGTGATTGTTGCCAACAACCACATTACAGCAGAGTACGTTTGCGATGATACCTCGGACAATCACAGACAGAAATGGAGACCGACCTGCATCGAGTATCCAGTGTCCAGTCCACCTTCGCACGCTTCAACGCAAATAAAATGAGATAGAGATAGAGACTGCAGATGTTCTCTGTATTTGTACCTATGCAGTGTTTTGTGATGAGCACCTACTGGCATCACTGGTAAACAATTCATGTGGAGACCCTGAATTTATCCAGTATTCAGCCGGTTTTTCTTCCCACTCAACTAACTGTAAAACACTGAGACTTCACATCCCCTTCGACTGCTGTGTGAAATGATCTCGAATGGATAGTCTACTCCGTGTTTGATTTGACGTATAATTTCTGAAATGAACAAACGCAGTCTCAAGTACGTTTTGCTGGGTTTGCCTTCTTATTTGTCCACGTATTTTTGTTTTCTTTTTTTTGTCGTCACTTCAACTCAGTGCACACCCGTTTACTCCAACCCGTGGTCACACAGGAAGGGCCCCTCTCTACCCTCCCCTCCTGCGGTACGTTGCCTTCGACTGTTAATGCGAGAAGAGTTCAGCACTATCAACTAGGCCAGGAGAGGAAGCGAGAGAACAACTCACTTTGCAAGAAAAGCTCGCTTACGCCAGGATCCGACCCCCTGACCTGATCTCTAGAAGGCTTCGAGGATACCAACTAGACCACCGGGGCGACCGGCACAGAAGATTACCACCAACAGATGAACAATCATGTTCCAAAGGGCCTGAACATACTTGACATCCCTGAGGACAAAGCGTGCTTCGCCGCTGAAACCTGGTTTATCTTTTCCCCACTCAAGCTCCGGAGTGCCCGAACATGCTTGACATTCTTGTGGACAAAGCATGCCGTCGCTGAAACCTGCCTCCTCTCCTTTCCCCTCCGGCTTCAACTTTTTTTTCTAGCAAGGACGGGCGAAGGACAACGACACCCCCTTCAGCGTCAGGGACACCGAGGAGGGTATCCGAGTGCTCATCGGAGACGAGACAAAGAACGACTCTCAGTGGGAAGGGGTGCTGGACCTATCTTGGGGAGTGGAGCCTCGACCGTTCTTCCGGGTGGACAGAATCGACGTCAACGAAGGTGCGAAGCTGGCGGTCGGTATCATTGATTGCGCAGAAAATAGACAAAGGAAGACTACCCGTTTTTTCTTACTACTTGATTTTACGGCATGTGTCAAGTGTCGGCGATGGTGGTTGTAGTGCCGTGGCGATGGTGGTCTGACTGTGGCCGTAGTGGTTAGCCTAGGGGCGCAGTGGATTATGTCTGGTTGGCGACGGAATTGGTGGATAACGGTCGACCTTCGTTGGCGACGCCAGTCAGTGTCGAAGTCACCCACGGGAGGTGGTCTCTGCGGAGTACACGCGACGTCGACATTTTCCCTGAACGCGTGGGCGACAACGCTCTTGATGGCATAATCGGTCGACCAGGAATTTTTCGATCAATGAGACTCCCGGTCAAAATATTGACCAATCAGAAAAATCCGGGCAACTCTTTGAGTCAGTATCTATCTATCTTATAGCTGTATACGTGTGTCTTTCCCTCGTCATGGTGTCTCAGAGAATGTTTTTTTTTCTTTGCCTCCCCTTCGATGTTCCTCTCTCGACAACAACGACACCACACCATCAGTCATTCCGTACCCCGGAGAGCTTTACATCCTCAACAAGCTCCTCGACGCCATCATCGACGTGAACGGGGAGCAGTCAGTGGAGGACCACCAAAAGCTCTTCATGGTGAGGATTGTAGTGTGTAGCACGCGATCCCGCCCTACACGCGGTGACTACTTAATAGTCATGTCCGCGTTCAAACATAAACGCAATTTCCTGCCGGAGCTGTGGGTGAAGTGTTGGTCTGCGCCTCATCTTTTGAAACGAAAAGGTTGGCGCTGGTTTGCAGCTGCCTTGGGCTTGGTCTCTCGTTGTTCAATCGAACTCCAAGGGTTTATAGGTTTTCTTACTTCGCGCCTCTTGCACACTGATGGGCACGCTTTGCGAATCTCATTGGCTTGTCGTGCTCCTCGTGTAACTTTCCCTGCGGTGCAATCCTTGTCCAATCATATCACTCACCCCACGTGGGAACAGTTCGCGCTGTCTGCATCAGCGAAGATCCCCCCCCCCCCGTTGGTCCGTCCCGGCGTTATTGGCATGCGAGGTCAATGGTCTAACGACGACGGCATGCGTTTGCATGAGAACACCACCCCCGGTTATTTCCGCCGGTGTCCTGATGGTCTAAATAACACTGTCGTCTTCCGTATTTTGTCGGCATGTTATTTTTTTCGCCGTTCGTGCTGCTGTCCTCGTTGTCGCTTTCCCCTCTGCACGTCTTTCTTCGACCGTGGGCACTACACATGCCACCACACCGGTAGTTCCGCGAAGGGGAGCAGAACCAGCTGGCGGAGACGAAAGCGATGCTCGCGGGCATGGCGTCTCTGTGATGACCCCTCGAGACACCGCCCTCATGTAGCCACAATGACCTAGGAGAGAGGAGACAGGTGTTAGCTTTCACGCCTACGTACCAGGCGTTTTGCGTGTGTGTCTTCTTGCGTTCTTCTGCTGATGTTCTCTCCTGGCCTCTCGCGTAATCAGCGGGGATGGCAAGACCGGGCGTTACTTAGTTGTGCCTGGGAGGGGCATCCTGGTGAGGACATGACGGCAATGCTGCACAATACCTTCGATCGTGATGGGGTAGTCATACAAAGGCAGGTCGTTAGTCAGTGTGGCTGCTGTGATTCCGCGTCAGGATACACTCGGGAGTTAACCCCACTCTTGGAGTAGTCTTTGAAACCGTACTGGTCCCATCTGGTAGGCACGTCATGGTGTCTCGAGTGTTGATGGTATTGGCGTAATACCGGGGATGTCCTAGGTAGCATGGGCGACGGCTGCACCGGCTAGTTTCAGTGCCCGCACACACTGCTGTGTCAACGGTGCGGTTTGAGCACAGCAGCAGCTCTCGCGTTGAACTTGGGATTTTTTGTTTGCAGCATACGAGTCTAGTGTACAGCAGTAGGTTGGAATGTCGTTGTTGCGGGCGTGGGGCCTCCGTTTTCCTTTAGATGGACGACAACGACCGTCACGATAACGAATCCATAAACCAGTTGTAGTGTTGTACTTGTAGTTCAGCGTCGACACGAATTTTGGTTCCCGTCCGTAACGATTGACGTTGTCATCCTCCCGTCGGGTAACTGCCAGCCTTTGCCCCGCATAACCTCGGCTCGAATGGAACTGGACGCCCGATTTTTGATGGCGCTTCAATGATGAAGGGCATTTTGGAAGAAAAGAGACCTGAACCTCAAACGGCGTGGCCGCATCCTTGCCGGCTGCTGCCAACGTATATTTCCCGCCGTTTGATACCCTTCCCCAAACTCTGGTCGAAGTTGGGGTTTCCCCCCTAATAATAGATGGAAGACGCGACATGCTTGAGTATCCACGCATGACGTGACGTGACACGACATGCGATTTCATAGACGGTACCGGCATCAATCTGTCGTCAGATCTCTCGTGAGGCAAATCAAATGCGATCGTGTGCGCTTCCGGTTCATCATCCTGTCTGTGCTTGCACAAAGCGGGCCGACTTCTAAAGGAAGCTTCGCAGCCCAAAGGGGCATGATTCCGAATTATAATGTACCAGCCCCAGCTCCCGTTAAAAGTAAAAGCCATGCACCTCTGTTGCAGCTCCTTGCACCACCTGGCCGGCCACAGAGGATCAAAGAGGCCAGCAGCGAGCGAACACCACAAGTCGCCGACACACACCAGAACAGCGCGCCAAGCACAACCGAACCCGATCTAGAAGCCAGGGGGGAAGGGCCACTTCGATGAGCACCCCGCGACCATCTCGGCAACAGATTCATCGGCACTAATTTTTCGGACACGATTCACGACGGCACCATGCTTGTGGACTCGTGTCGACGCCGCTACGTGCGCGTGGCTATCTACGAGCACAGCCAGCTGCAGCAGTTCGTCACGAGGCTCTAAGCTCTAAGTGCGCACAACAGGTGATATAGTCAGTACAGCAGTCTATTATGTTGTTTAGTCTTGGCAAGGTGAGCGAATGGCTCACGATAATAATACAAAGAACCACACATCCCTGGCCTAGGTCGCTGTTTCCGAGAAACGACAACGCCTTGGCATACATAATATAGAAGAACCCACCTTTCGCTCACTAAGGCAACGCACCCCTACAATGATGTGCATCCTAAACACTACATATAACAATCTAAACTATACCTTAAAAACAAACACATCGTAAACTACATCAACGGCAACGCCGCGACTCGACCATAAAAACACCGCGCAAAGCTAAAACAGCGCAACAATAGGCCGTCTAAAGGTGCCTTCTCGACCCTGGCGCCAACAGCGAGGGATGGGGCCACCGTCCACGGCTTCGGTTGGTGGTAAACTTGGTGGTAAACCGCAAGAACACAGCAGTTTGACGGGACGCCACATAGAGTACCAGGGACGAGCAACAGAGATGCGTGTCAAGAGCGACTTGGTGCACCTCTGTCCCTTCCGGTGTCCACGCGCATGCCACCTCACTCTTAAGAGGCGACAGTACCGGTATCAAACACGACACGACATAGCACATCAACATACTGCAGTCAACACCTCCGCACACATGCAAGTATCCTGCACCCGGTGGTAAATGGTTTTCAACATGAGCCCAAACCGTGAAACTACTCCCAGACCAACAATAGGGTGAAACTAGATACGACGCCCATCCCAAACAATAACAAACCCGGTCATAACAAATTAGTTTTAGAATCGAAATAAACCAAGCCCATGTAGTCTACATCTGTAAATCATGCCACAATGACGCCCCTGCCTACCAGCCTCTCTACACGTCTGCTTCCTTCCAACAGTAAAAAAGACGGAAAAAAAAAAAATGCTTCGCGAACCTCCCCTGTGAATCCCCTGACAGACGTCGCCTTGCTTGCTTGCTGCTTGCTACACACCCCACACGTAGGTAGAACAAAAAGAAACAAACAGGAGCTTGTACAATCCAGCTATGGACGCCTAGTCTTGCTTTTCTGCAGACACGCCCGTAGCCCTGCGTCTCGGCGGGAAGTAAAGTCGAGCCACCTAAAAAAAAACACAAACACACAGATACAGATACACACGCGCAAGCGAGGAGGGGAGCGGGCGGGAGGTTGAGACCCCGTTCTACCTCCCGATTGACCGACAGCAGTTGGCAAGATATTCCATGGTGACACAAAATCTAAGTGTAGACCATGCCAGCAGCAGCCAGCGCTACGTCCCCTTCAGAGAGACGTGAATGGTTTTGGTCATTGTAGTCAACGTAGTAGTTACGATTCCGGTTTGCCCCTATTTGGAGATGCACCACCGTACCGTACCGTACCGTACCGTACCGTACCGTACCGTACCGTACCGTACCGTACCGTACCGTACCGCACCGTACTATTCTACGGCAACGGGCCCTCAACAACGCCGGTTGAATAACGCCGGTGGCCCTGAATAGAGCCAGTGAAACTCCTGGGCACAGACCGAACCACCACGTAATTCTGTACATTGAATAGCACCGGTCGATCAGCCGGGCACATACCGGCGCACGTTTGTTGAAGGCCCACCACTACCGTGCGATTAAAAACACAAAACCGGTACTTCGACCAGGAGTTGGAAACACCATAAAAACGGCGGCAACCGGAGCGAGAATCGCGCCAAAGAAAAACCAAGTCAGACAGACAGACGCTGCTCACTCACCCAATACGCGGCAGTCCCCAACACCGCCACGGCTGCCCCAAACCCGGAGACGAAGCCAATAGGGGTACCCATCGCGACCGCCCCGAAGAAAATAACCATCCCCCGCTTCACCGAGTTCGCCACCGAAAATGTCGTGACGGAGCCCATCTTTTCGAGCACCTTGAACGCCGCCTGTAGAAGGAGCGTTCGTGCATGTGCGTTCGTGAATCATGATTGGCCAGTGAAAATGCGTTGGTTTCGGCGGGGAAAATGTCGAGGTGTGCTTTACTTGCGGTATTTTTCAGTCTTGCTTAGTTTCACAAAAGACCTTACGCAAAGGTGCAGTAAAGGAATGAGATCGCGTGACTTGTGCGGACTACACGCGGCGGCGGTGGCAGCACCACGACAACCGTCCCGGGAAGGCCAACACCCTCAAAAATGACTTGCACGAGAGGGACCCCCTATACACGCGAGCCTTACTGCGCTGTGTAGGAAGAGCAGAACCCCGCTGAAGCCCAAGTAAAGGGCGAGCCACGCCAAGCTCGTGGCCACGTCATCATCATCGCCTCCCGCGTCTCCTGCTCCTACTCCTTCCCTCACCGCCGAAGCTACAGCCCGTGCCCCTCCCGCGACACCGCCTCCCGCGGTGGCCCACCATCGCAGAGCGTGGGGGCCGTCGACGATCAAAGCGTAGGGCACCACCGTCGCAAAGGACATCACCTTGGGAAAGGGCGGGGGGCACGGCTTGCTCGTAAGAGAGAGGTGGTGGGACTCGAGATCGAGAGTTTGAAAAAGACGAGTGGAGTAGTGAGACCATCCATACTTGTTCGAGAGATAAAAAAGAGGAGGTGGGAGTCGAGATCTTGGACAGGGGGCGGCGAGGTCAATAACGCCGACGTGCTTGAACGGTTTGCCTCGTTTGTCTCCGTGGAGGACGGCACGAAATAATCAACAAAAAACTCGAGGTAATACTGAGGAAAGCGAGATGCATGAACCGTTTGCATGGACAAGACTATAGATCGTTACCCACGGCTTCGCCTACCAGAGACAGGTGGATCCATTGGCGGTTCCTAGAGCTTGCTGGACTCGACCGTAGTTGATACCTTTGCCGTGGAAGTCGGCCTGCCAACCGTGTTGGACACAAGATACCACACTCGGCCGATTTTCACAGCTCGACGACTCTATGACCAAGAGGATGACAAAAATCAGCCGATACGTTCTCGGAAAGCTCTCGACGAGACGATTCCAAGGCCACCCCCGTTTTCGACACCCCCACTCGTTCAACTGTGGAGTATTCGAGCCCTGAAAATTGGTCCAGGTTGTGTCGTCCTTTTATAACCTACGGTACTGCTTTCGATGGTGAGAACCGGTAGCAGCTCTCGGCGCCTATACCCGAGGTTTGAGGTAGCTGAGACCGCCCCAGGCTATCGCCGCAGTCTCCTTCCTTCTGCTCCGTGGCTCCAACCCCTGCTCTGAAAACACTCAGCCATCATGGTACTCACCGTGACCACCGCGTACGTGTTGGCGGCAGACAGTGGCCTCTTATGGAACTCCCTCTGTCTGCTGGCGCGTTTGGAGTAGAAGTCGCGCACGCCTGGCGTCCAGGTAGTGGTGACGCCGAAAACGAGACGGGAGGGGGGGAGGGTGGTGTGTGTACTCACGTAAACGCATGCCGTAGTCGTTAGGCCATTGAGCTCGCATGTCGAAACGGAGCGATGTGTGTCGCTGGTCCAGGGTACGTTTCTCAAGGGTGGACCAGAAGCTGGTCATCATCCTTACGACGGGGGGGTGGGAGAAGGGCCGAGGTGAGACCTTCTCATCGCGGTTCTTCTGCCAATGCGCTTGGGGTACTGGAAAGGACCGTATTGCTAACGGATAAAAGGCGTTGTGTCCGTGGCTCAACTACAAAGCGAACACGCTTTCGGAGACACTTGTCGGATACACGCGGACCGTGCCTGCTAGTGTAGGACATCACGCCCAACAAGTAAGGTAGTGTTTCTCGCCAACAGCCACCCACTTCCTCCCTTCCAGCCAACACCCTACTATGCATAGCAACCCCCAAAGAGCAGATAAACTGGCGGTATGCGTGGACCGGACGCATATCTTCGGCTCACCCACGCACACGCTGGACGCCACCGCGAAAAACAAGCCACCCCGAGTAATGGACGCGTCTCTCGACACCAGAGCGACGCCTGTGATGATGGGGACCATTGCGGCGTTGACGATGGGGTGCGACCGTTTTCCGGCCACGAAGAGGTCTACCAGAGCCGAGGCTAGCGGCTCCAATGCCTGTAAGAGCGGGGGGGGGCACGGGGGTCGAACATGGACTAGTGCAGATCGACGAAGAGCAACGGGCAATCAAGGAGGAAATCAAACAATCATAGCAGCAGCAGCAGCAGCAGCAACAGGAACAGGAACAGCAACAAAAATAACCGATGTAATGGATTCGACCGCAAAGGTGAACGAAACAGCAGCAGTGGTTCTGATACCCGTTGGGGGTAAACCACGACGTATGTATGTACATGTATCAACACGATACAGGCATCCAACGTCCAACAACAACAATCACGCCGACCTACAGAAACTGGCGACAACAGTTTGAACCGGCGGCCAAAAGTTGCCAAGCAAGAGCAGAAATGGCTTGGCTATCTCTGGTAGCTTATTTGGGTGAGCCCCCAAGTGTCTCTCCTTTGTTCGTTGAGGTGCAGGGGCGGTTGCACTATTACAAGCGAGCCGAGCGGAGAGCAAACGCAGAGCAAATGCTTGTTATGCCCGAGCTAGCCCCAAGACAGGGGCGTGCCTTCTCCTTTGGTCGTTGAGGAGGAGGGGTGGATGCACAACAAGCAAACCAAGCGTACCTGGATAGCGGTGACCATGGCCAGAGAAGAGGACTGCAACGCCCACCCGGTGGCAAGATTGGAGACGCTATGCCAGAGCGACACGTAGAACAAGATGGGCATCTGGTCAAGTGCAGCACGAAACATCGCGGTAACCGCGCGCGATCACAGAGAGGGCGACGGTGGTGAGAAATCAAGGGGGGGGGGGGGGGGGGGGGCGCCTGGGGGGTTTGGGAATCCCCGGGGGTTTTGGGTTACCAGGGGGAAAGGGAGGGGGGGGCCCCCCCTTAATTAAAAATGGGAATAAAAATTTTTTGGGTTTCCCCCAATCCCCCCTTTTTTTCCCAAAAGGGGGCCCTCTAACGGAAATGGGGGGGGACCTTTTCTTGCAACCCTTTTAAAAAAAAGTGATAAAATTTTGGGTCCCCCCCCTTCTTCCAAATAAAAGGCCCTTTATTTCCAAAATTTTTAAAACCGAAACCCCCCCCCCCACCCAAAAAAGCCCCCCAAACATTTAACCGGGACCCGCCCCACCCCCCAACAAAAAAACCCTTTTCCCTTTCCCCCTCCAAAAATCACCTTTC